TAACCACTCTTAAAATTTATTTATATGTATGCTAAGCTTATTTTCATGGTACATGAGCATCATTTCTAATTTTTCAATGAGTAATTTATTTAAACATCATATACCAACTAATAAGTAGACTAAACCCCTATAAAAACTCCATGTTAGAACACCTAAGGTTACAACCCTCTTTATTCTCCATACTATATCAGTGCTTGATGCAGCAATTCATTAAAACAAAAAGATAATATTTTCTAATTTATCTTGAAATATGTGGGTTAACCTCTACAAAGAGATTGAGTTTTCCGATAAATATTATATATATATATATATGTCTCTTTAGATTTGTTTAATAATACTTAACCTGCTAACAACATTCAAATTTTATATTAATGTATTAAACTTACGTTCATGGTATATGGGCATCAGTCTTATTTTTCAACGTAGGAATTAAAGAAAAAACTCCATATACCACCAAAATCAATGAACAAAACCTTATAAAATCTTTAAATCTAAAGAAACTTGGACAACTAAGGTATCAAAACTTTTTAATATTCATCGTATATCAGGTGTTGGATGCATCTATGCATGAATACAAAAATTCTATATTTTATAATTTATTTTGAAATATGTGGATACGGAAAGATTTACTTTTCCGATGGCTTGGATGACTTCCCTTCTGGACCGGCCCTGAGTCTGTTATGGTACCAATATGTTGTCATTATCATTAACTTATGGGCTCTAATAGATTATCAAAATATATAATTTCTCTTCCCTTCGTTCGTTGAAATGTGTAGTGTTTATTTTGCTTAACTCCTTGTTTAGTTGTGGAATGCATGTCCAGTTTACTTCCCTGGTTTTCTTTCCTTTATAAATCTCCATCTTTGATAAAAAGTAAATATATATATATCCATCATCTCTCAAATTCTAAACCTCACTCGTGAGGTTTTATATTACATAGTGTTAGCAATATGTTAAAACTAATCACTATATATATGAAGCTATAGTTTTGTATCAAACACAAAACAATAATATATTTAATATAATTTTTTTGTGTCCATTGGTTCAAGCTCCAAAGTTCACATATTGTTTCTTGGGCAGATGGACTCAACAAGAAGTAAAGTCTGCGGAGAAACAGCTTGTGTGTTTTCAACTTGTTCAAGTGATGCTTAAGGAACGTTCTGCTTCGATGCGAAAGCTTTGTATCGTTGTGGTGTTATGAATTTTGTTCATGAGCATAGAAGTTGTTGGTGGCATCAAAGGCAAAGAGTTTGGCTATTCTAACCGATGCAGCTCATTTGCTCACCGACGTTGCTGCTTTTGCTATCTCAATGCTCTCCTTATGGGCGTCTTCTTGGGAAGCGATTCCTCGGCAGAGTTTTAGGGACAACCATTAAGATGGTTAGAAGCATACTCGAGAGTGCACCGAGAGAGATCAACGCAAGGCAGCTAGAAAGGGATTGTTGGAGATGGAGGAAGTGGTGTCTGTTCATGAGCTTCACATTTGGGCAATAACAGTTGGAAAAGTTCTGTTTTCTTGTCATGTCAAGATCAAACCAGAATCTGATGATGCCATGGTGCTTAACAAAGTGATTGATTACATCTGGAGAGAGTACCGTATCAGTCACGTTACCATACAAATCGAGCGTTAGAACAATAAAAACAAACCGGAGACGGTTAACTTATCTGGTTTTCTGTCATTTTCATGATCAAACTCAATCTCTTTTTTTTTTTTTTTCTTGCTTTCTCGTGTTCTTTTATTTACATTGTTGTTTGCTATGTCATTGTTTTTGTTTATGAAGAAGTTTTTTTTTTGTTTTATCTTAAAAAGGGTGTCTGAAAGGACATAGCTTTATCTGAGATTAGGTCTTTGTGTGTATGTTACTATAGAAGAATCTGAATCTCTAGAGTTTATCTCTGATAACATGGCTACCAAAAAAGTGGGGCATGTTTGTCCTTAGAGCAAGTAACCATAGCTCGTGTGTGACAGTAGCAAACCATATCACAGTACACACATGATATAAGAAAAACAATTCAAACTTTCTTTGTAGTTTTTTTATTTAGTTGATAAGGTTTCTAAGGTCTTGATTAACAATGCAAAGGCTGATTCTTTGTTTCTTTGTTAAGTATGTTGTGTAGACAAAACAGGGACATTTTATAGTACAACACTATTCATTGCCGTATAACCCAAGGCATCAAACATAAGATTCGTGTTATATTATCTTTGGAGTGGTTGACAAAAGAAATGATCTATAGAGTCAAACTTTTTTTGTATTAGTTATAAAGATATTAGAGAAAACCCACATTTAAGTACATTAGAACATGATGGGGGGGCAGAATAGTTCTGTATAAAGGTTTAGATTTTTGAGCTTTGAAGAAAAGGAATGGTGTGGTGTGTAATGTAATGATGTATAATGAAGAAAGGATGATTGTGACATCATGAGAAAGATGACACAGACCCAATACAAAGCTCTCTTACCCATGACTTGTCTCTATTTACCTTCTTCTTATGTGTAATTTAGAATGTCCCCACAAAGTCTCTGTCTCCACTTCAAGACAAAACTGCCTCCACCAATAATCAATCTCTCTCTCTCTCTCTCTCTCACCCCTCTGCTCTTCTCAGCCTCACCAGCTCTTCTAACAGTACTTAAAAATGTATATTTTCTTACCTCTCTGTTTTTCACAGCTCCTCTATTTCCTCCCTACTCTATAGCTATTAAAGACTCACTGCTCTATATAAAGATAACAGTTACAAGTTCAGAAAGACTCAGAATCAGAAGAGAGTACATGAGTTTCCTATTCTACCTCTTTGGTTGTTCTTAGCATTTATTGTTACACACATCATTGCATAATAATAATACATAAGAAACAAAAGTTCTCAAATGGAGAGGTTTCAAGGACACATCAATCCCTGTGTATGTATCTTTTGCTTAATTTAGGAATCTTCACTTTCTTTCTCTCTTCCCCTTGAATCATTTTTTTCTCTATGCTCAGAGAAACAGACTTGTATTTACTTATTTTTTCCCTAATGAGTCCAGATGCTTTTGCATTCAATGCTTTTCTTGTTTGTTTTACAGAAAACAATAACAGATTCTGCAATCAATTTTGTTTCCCATCTACTTTGAAAACATTCCATTTTCCCTTCTACTTTTGTTTATCTCTACACTAAAACTCACCAAGTCACACAGCAGAATCATTCTTCTCACCAAGTGAACTAAATCCTCTGTCTTTCTTGTAGTTAGAAGCTCAAGGATTTGTTTCCTTTAAAGAAGAAGAAGAGGAGGAAGAAAGCTTGCAAGATTCAGTTCCATTTCTACAAATGTTGCAAAGTGAAGAAGACCCTTCACCGTTTACATCATTCAAAGAACTATTGTCTCTTCAGAACCTCCATAACCATTGGGAACTCAAAAGCTATCTTCCAGATGATACCAACCACTTCTATCACAACCCAGTATCCATGGAAGTAACCAAACAAGCTTTGTCAAGCCAAGAACTACCTTTTAGCCGACAAAACATGACACTCCCTTCTTCCTCATCAACACCAAACTCAAAACGCAAGCGCAAAATCACCAGCAACAACCCTCCTGAAGCGACTAGAGGAAAGAGGAAGAGGAGGAAAACAAAACCAAGTAAAGATGTTGAAGAGATAGAGAATCAAAGAATCAACCACATTGCTGTTGAACGTAATCGACGGCGACAAATGAACGAACATATCAACTCCTTACGTTCTCTTCTCCCACCTTCTTACATCCAACGAGTAATCTCTCCTCTCTCAAATCGTTAACCCTAAAAATCTCTTTTAGCTAAGTTTAGGGTTTTCTTTTTCAGGGAGACCAAGCATCTATAGTAGGAGGAGCTATAAACTACGCGAAGGTACTCGAGCAAGTCATAGAGTCACTTGAGATGCAAAAGAGAATACAACAGAGTAATGGAGTTGAAAACAGAGTTACTTGCGTCCCAAGAATCGAAGCTACGTTGATACAGAACCATGTTAACCTTAAAGTTGAGTGTCGGAAGAAACAAGGACAGCTTTTGAAAGGAATCGTTTCACTTGAAAAGCTTAGACTCACTGTTCTTCATCTCAATATCTCGTCGTTGTCTTGTTCATTAGTCTCTTATTGCTTCAACCTCAAGGTAACTCACTTTTTTCAGTTTTTTTATAATTTTTTATAAATGTAATCGTTAATGATATATTAATGGAACAGATGGAAGATGATTGTAAACTAGAATCGGCGGAGGAGATAACGAAGGTGGCGCATCAGATTTTTGATACCTCGACGTAAAAATCAATATTTTAAAGATAATAAAAAAAAAATATAAAACTCTGTTTTGGTTGTACTATTATTGGACTATTCGATCATGTTTTGTTATGTTTTGGGTGTTTTGTGGGGGTTTTGGTCCCATCTAATTAATGTTTGACCTCATATGTATTTATGATATTTATCATCAATCAGCGTTTGACTTTTTTCTCTATTTAATGAATTGACTTTCTGGTTATTGACAATAATAAAGTGTTTTGTTTGTAATGGTATGGTCATATGGTGTGACATGAATAGAAAGTTGATTATTGTTATAAGCTGAATCTGATGATAATGATGTTTAACAAAGAAAATAATTGTTTGTTTTTATCATATAGTTTTATGGGCTTGTTGTAATACATTGTTTACTACTGATGGATCCACTAACTAAGCCCAATAATTCAAAAACAGAGAGTAGAAACATGACACTTTTGACATCAACAAGCTAGCATTTTTTTTTGTAAGCTTTTGATATTATACTATACAATAATAAAGTGTTTTGTTTGTAATGGTATGGTCATATGGTGTGACATGAATAGAAAGTTGATTATTGTTATAAGCTGAATCTGATGATGATGATGTTTAACAAAGAAAACAATTGTTTGCTTTTATCATATAGTTTTATGGGCTTGTTGTAATACATTGTTTACTACTGATGGATCCACTAACTAAGCCCAATAATTCAAAAACAGAGTAGAAACATGACACTTTTGACATCAACAAGCTAGCAATTTTTTTTAAAGCTTTTGATAGTATACTATACAATGGGTGGAGTCGAATACTTTTAGTCACAACATCATAAATCTAGAGTAACCATTTTGAAATTTCAAGAAATAAGAAAATACCAAATGTTATAAACGTGATTCAAGGCTGAGCCAAGCTTAGAAAGTTTTTTTTCTGTACAATGTAGCAGTCGATTTTTTCACTAAAGATGAGACCGACGATGCTGCAAGTTAGAGATGTAGTAGAGAATCCTCTTTTTGTCGTCAGGGGTTAATGAGAAAGGAGGGGACAGAGGTAGAGTCACTGCTTCCTCTATTATAAAGGAGAGTAGCAGAATCGCTTTCTTGTATAATCTTGCTGCACTTTCCTTGTTATTCAAATATTCTTCTGCCTGGAAAACAATAAAAAGGAACAATGAATTAAACCCACAAAGAAAGTCTCTGACTTTAAGGACAAAGGTGGAAGAAGAAATGGGATTTTAAACCAAACCGAACCAAAAATTTGGTTAGTTCGGTTAGAAGCTTCGTTTATTTGGTGGATTTTCTTTAAAAAACGGTTTTTGGTTCGGTTACTTCGGTTTTCTTGTTTTAAACACAAATTATACCCAAACCATACCAAATTTTGAACAGAACTAACCAAATTTATTCGAAGTTTTAACAAAATTAAACCAAAATCTAACCGAAATCAAAATCTTCGGTAAGATTTTCAAAAACCAAACTAACCGAATACCGAACTGAACCTTATTTCAGGCTACTTCAGTAAGATTTATGTTGAACCTAACTACCAAACCGAATAACCTCAACTAACCAAACCCACATGCCTAGTTGGAAGCTTTTGACAAAAGTATCAGACTTTTTGGGATAGATACTTTTTACTTACCCCACCACTCTTGCCGTATGCTAATGCCTTCTCGTATATTGTTTCCATGGCATCAGGCATATGAGTTGCAGCTGCAACGAAATGCCTTCAGTGAATGTACAAAGAAACACAAAAGATAATGCTCAGTCTCTAAGTACTAACCGCTTGTTTGGTTTAGTTGAGTTGATGAAGTCTCAGCCTGGTTAAACGCAGTAACAAACTCTTGTGTCACCCAAGTTTTAGCTACTTCTGGTGAATTTAAATCTGGATTTGAAGTCTCTGGAGTTGTTGTGTTCACTCTATCCTCTCCAACGGACACCATCCAAGAATCACATATCTCTAAAGCTTTCCTCCATGCAGCTAAAACGACGAGGGTAACAGCAAAAGATTCCTTCACTTGTCCTGCATTGTCCTGTATACAAACGGTATTAGAATCTCTCTAATGTTATCACTTGAGAGACCATAGATATTAAGAGTTTGTAGTTACCATCTCGTTAGCTACTTCTGTAAGTGCCTCTGCATACTGTTGCAAGAGTTGGAGCTTGGTTGGAGGATGAACGATCGTTAACCGTTGGACTTCTGTCAACAGGTATGATCCACTTGCTGGTCGTGGTGCTGACACGTCAGGTAATGGTCTCTGTGCTTCAAGTGATGTGTCGAAATAATCTGAAGAACCTTCAGAAGGACGGTTTACAAGTACATATTCCCTCTCTATGAGCTCAAGCGAGTCAAGTACTGAACACATGACAACAACATCAACCGACTCTGAGTGATTTTGAGCTTATAAAAGCAATAGAGAGAAGACACAACAAACCTCCAAGTTGGTTTGATGAGGATTGTCCCTCATTGGTCTTCTCACAAGAGACATGTTGCTGCATCAAAATGTTGGAAGTTGAGGCACTAGAGGAACTCTCATGTTTGTAGACATTCTCTGAACTTGATTTGAATCTGTTTGTACTACTTTGTTGTGCATAAGACAAAGATGATTTCCCCCTAGAAGTATCAGCATCAAAATGTGTAATACCATGCATTTGTCTGAAAAAAATTTGTATGAAAGATGATTAAGGTTGGTAGTGATTAAAAACCTCAATGGCTAATCAAATTTCTCAAGACATGTATTACCTTGGCTCGTGAAGGAACCTGTGGCTGAAGAACTCTCGAAACGTCAAGCGTTCAACTGCAGTCAAAGAAATGTATTAATGTGACTTGATTGATCTTAGAGTCAAGTAAGCAGGCAAATGAAGAATGATATAACAAGTACTTGGGTCTCGGCGTAGAAGACTTCTGCAGAGATCAACACAATCAGGATGAATCTCATTCAAAGCATCTCCAGGAAACTTCAGCTCAGTGTCTCTCACAATATTTTGAAATAGCTGTATAGAAGCATATAATGAAAGGCCATAAGATTACTACAAGTTCAAGAAGCAGTACATGAGTCTAAGCCAAAAGAACCTGGATGTGATTAGTCCCATCAAAAGGTGGCTTCCCAGTTACAAGTTGAAACAAAATCGCACCAGCACTCCACAAGTCAGCCTGAAATGTTTATTACAGAGTTAAAATGACAAGAAAAAAAAATAAAACAAAACAGATGAAGTTTTTTCACCTTAGCATCATATTTTTGGTTCCGGATAATCTCTGGAGCCATATACAAAGGAGAACCACAGAATGTTTCAGCCATGCTCTCAGGAGTTAAAGACCTACCAAAAAAATCTCAACATTACATACCAAAACTAATACCTTTCCATAAAAAGAAAACATCCTTTTTGGTCATAAATAATAATACCTTGCAAACCCAAAATCTCCTATCTTTAGCAANTTTTGGTTCCGGATAATCTCTGGAGCCATATACAAAGGAGAACCACAGAATGTTTCAGCCATGCTCTCAGGAGTTAAAGACCTACCAAAAAAATCTCAACATTACATACCAAAACTAATACCTTTCCATAAAAAGAAAACATCCTTTTTGGTCATAAATAATAATACCTTGCAAACCCAAAATCTCCTATCTTTAGCAATGGAGTAACTTCCTTGGACGATAAAAGTAAATTCTGAAAAGAAAAAACAGAACCATGACTAGACTTTTCATCATAGCTATCAAACTAAAACATAAGGAGGTTTCTTTCTACTCACCTGAGGCTTTAAATCTCTGTGGATACAATGCTTCTCTTGAAGTACTTGCAAACCTAAAGCTACAACACACACACACAAACACAAGAACATAAAACAAAGAGATTCAAACATGAAAGGACATAAAAACATAACAAAATTGATCAAACATGTATCTCTTCAAGTACTTGCAAGCCTAAAGCTACAAAACACATAAGAACATAAAACAGAGAGATTCAAACATCAATGAAAGAATTCTAAATTTAAAAACTACAAAACACAAGAACACAAAACAGAGATTCTGAATTTAACTACAGAACACAAACACAATAACATAAAACAGAGATATTCAAACATCAAAAAAGACTCTAAATTAAAAAAAAAAACTACAAAACACTAGAACTTAAAACAGAGATATTCAAACACCAAAAAAAAGACTCTAAATTAAAAAAAAAAAACTACAAAACACAAGAACATAAAACAGAGATATTCAAACATCAAAAAAACACTCTAAATTAAAAGAACTACAAAACACAGGAACATAAAACAGAGATATTCAAACATCAAAAAATACTCTAAACTTAAAAACTACAAAACACAAGAACACAAGAACAGAGACTCAAACATCAAACAAAGATTCAACATNAAAAAAAAAAAACTACAAAACACAAGAACATAAAACAGAGATATTCAAACATCAAAAAAACACTCTAAATTAAAAGAACTACAAAACACAGGAACATAAAACAGAGATATTCAAACATCAAAAAATACTCTAAACTTAAAAACTACAAAACACAAGAACACAAGAACAGAGACTCAAACATCAAACAAAGATTCAACATTTCAAACACATAAAAACAGAACAAAAACTGATCTTACCCAATTGCCTCATAAAATGCTTAGCAACAGCTTCTGAGACTTTGCCATGGACATTGATATAATCAGCAAGATCACCTCCACTACAATACTCCAACACAAGAAATATCCTATCTCCAGTCTACAAAATTCACAATTTCAATACCCAAAAATTAAAACTTTATATTAAGACAAAGAAAACAACAAAGATATAAACCTCAATAGCTTCATAGAATCTGATGATGTTGGGATGATCAATAGTGCTGAGAATAGAAATCTCCTTGAGGAGATTGTCTCTGACTTTAGGGCTAAGCTTCTTCTTATCAATCTCCTTGATGGCGACTTCTAAACCAGAGGATCGATGCTTGGCTAGCCACACCACAGCGAAGGAACCAGACCCGAGTCTCGGGCCAAGTTCGTAGTCACCCACAAGTCGTGCCGTGTCCATCCGGGTTTTGGGTTTTTTTGACCCGTTTTAAAAGTTCGGATCTTTAGTTGATTCAACCTCCATTGATACTACGAAACAGAGAACAAAAACAGAGAGAAGAACGAAACAGAGGAAAATCTAATCTTTTTTTTTCAGAACGAACTGTTTTTTTGTTAATTATACAGTAAAGCTATCGACTTTATATTATTTTCTGTGTTTTGTTTTTTTGAAACTTTTTGTTTTGTTTTGTTGTGTGTGTGTGGGAGATTGAGATTTGGTTTAAGTTTATGAGCAAAAGAGTTTATTACTTGTACTCGACAACAAGCCTTGAGAAAAATTGACGTCTTGGATCCAAGTTCCACGAGGAAAGGACCTAGGAAATATCTCAGAATATTACCTTTTTTATTTAATAAAAAAAAAGGCAAAAAATTGTTAAGTTTTCTGATTAATCTTTAAGTTGTTTTAATACTATTATATATAGTTTTTTAACAATAATATTATAGATACTTGTATGGTTTTTTGTGCAAAAAAAACATATACTTATATGGTTTATTTTATATTTAATTACTGGATTATATGATTATTTCCTTATAGAAATTAAAGATTGTTAAGAGTTTTATGGATGTCTAATTGATAATTTTGTTGTTGATGAATGAGTCATAATTGGTTGATAGTTTATGAGACAAAACAAAACTGAGAAATCTAATTAATTCATTATTACTTTAAATTTTATAATAAATTTTAACCGGAAAGAATGATTTAATCTAGTGTGCATATGTCTTACTCCCACGGTAATTAGATCCACTTCATTGATAAAAAAACATGAATTCAACTTTTTCCTTAAAGTAAAAGAAATTGTTCTGTTTCTAATAAAAATATTAGGATATTGTGAAAGACAAAGGTAGAAAAGCACACTTTATAAACAAACGGGTTACTACAAACTATATTCCTAAATGCAATAATTGTTACATTAATGTTGATAGCGGTTTACTAAGCAGCTCATGCAAAGAAAGAAAAAAGCGATGATACAGTCACCATCTTTGTTACAATATGTCACACCATAGAAGCCATTGGTTTCATATTATCACGTTGTTTTAGTGTTAAAATATAACGCAGATGTCGATGGATTGTAACCACTTAGAAATTTCATGATTTTTGAACGACGGATACGAAGATTATCTTCTTTATAAGGATACTTATACTTATTCAAATGAATGTTTATCGCTAATGAATGATGACTAGTCTAGTAAATCTCTTGGTACAGTGATATAAATCCGACAAAGCCTAACTTGAACTAATCAGTTTGTCAAAGCCACATCAGCATTGACCAGCTCTAATTATCATGATATAAAAAAAGTACCAATGTGAAAGTGCCACGTAACCCAGCCACAAATAAAGCCCACTAATCCGATGCAAGCCCAATGATGTTTGGAAACAAGAGAGAAAACATTGAAACCTTTGCGATATTAATACAGGCTACAGGCAACTAATGGGCTATAAGTTTTCCATATAATTTAGGCTTTTCTACTTGCCTAGCCCATTTTCTTGTACTTGATATGAATCGAATCACTCCTCTTCTTTTTCTTAGCCGTAGAAAATGAATATGACAATGGAATGACTCTAGAAATAAATAATATTTAACTGAATTTATATGGTATTAGTATATAACATTTTGAAAATGTGGTTGTTGTGTTGTTTGAAAAGGGAAAGCGACTAAACCTAATAAACAAATATCAGATTTGTGAAGGGACGATGGGATCCTTTTGATCTTTACCTATCGTCTTTTATTTGGCTGGACCACCCTCACCTTCCTATTCATTACATCTTTCATGTGTAACCGAATCTTCCACATCGAAACCTTCATTATTAAAACCTGACAAGTCGTGCATTAGGTGAAGACGAGATCAATGTATATATCTCGCATTTCTATCAAAGATCACTTGGTTTTTATACGTCTAGTTACAGATTTGTTAAGCAAGCAAAGTTGTTGTGGAAGGGATCGAACTTAAAATTATTTTTTAGATTTAATATACTCAAACTATTTCAGTCACCAGCTTACCAGCACATAGCCATTGACATTTTCATAAATATCTTGTGATGTAAATAATTTGCTAATTTGGCCGAGTCATCATTAGATGCATGTCTTTTGTTTTGACATGTGCATGTAAAATGTACATGTGGTTGAATTATGTGGATGTATATATGGCTTGGGCAGGGATAATGAGAAGCTGACTTATGCAGCCATTGCAGAAGCCATAAATATACATATTGGAGTGTATGCATATTTTTTATTTTTTTGGACAAAGCAGTGTATGCATATGTATTGCCAAATTTACAAATGTAATGACAACAAAACAAATGACAGTAACTTTGAAGGTTCTTACACGTGTTATAATGCTAAAGAATATTGTGATATATATAATAGCAAGGAAAGTTATATTGAAATGAAAATAAGATTTAAGACATATCCAATTTTGCATACAATTGAATATTTTCTTTCAGCAAACTTGGGTTTGATTCCTCTGTATCCCCCTCTCCCCATACAAAACCTACCCCACCAATATATAATTTTGCATATACATTTATTAAACCCACTATCTGTATACCTTTTTAATTTCTGTTTTCTTATGTTTATTCTGATGTCAATCAATAGTACCTACACCACCAAATGTACTTTTAAAATAAATGTAAGCATGTATGATCATTGTGTGTGTGTGTGTCTGGGAACCCTAAAGGTCAAGACTATCAGGAGACGAAGTCAAACTCAACATTATAATCATCGGTTTACATGTTAACATAACTTTATACGTGGAGGTTCCTGATGTTCCATCCAGTTATATAAATGATTATTGATAAATATATGTTTTGGGTTTAAAGGTTTTGCTATTACATAAAGAAAACATGTATTATAATTTCACATTCAATAATGATCAGTTGAAACTTATGTCTTCTACGTACTAATTCGTTAAACTAGTTCCTTATTCCTTCCAATACAAGATTCCTGATTATTGTATCAGCTCGTTAGTCGATTCTGTTTTCATATGGCCATATATTTGCAATATTCTTGATGGATATCATCACTGAGATGAAATGATAAAACTAAAGTCGAGAAAGGAACTAGTCTACAAAGCCAATGCCGAGAATATTGTGGGCAAGATATCAATGCATGAAGCGTATAAAGCTTGTGCTATCAATAAAAGCAAGTCCGAATGAGATACCAAAGGCAAGAGGATATGATAATCTATTCAATCAAGACCCATGCTATAAGCAAAGTTCTTAAAATAAATTAGTTTAAAATTTAATTAAATTAAATAGACAAAAGGGTTGGCTAGGGATAGGGAGAGAGAGAGAGAGAGAGTCCTAGACCCTGGGGGCAAATGACAGTTGGAACATGTTGTCGCCATTATCGCACCATCCATCTCCCAAATTTTGTTATTATTGTTATTAAATAGAATGGTCCGCCTTTTATTTCACCACTACCATCTTCGATTGCGACTTATCATATCAACTACATACAAATCATATAATACTTTTCTCTCTTTTGCTATGTTGCTTTCTTTTCCTCTCACATATATGGTGGCGGTATGTAACATACCATACTAGATTTGATTGACAGGAATGTCGCGTCTGTCCATGTTATCAATTTTTGTTTTCATGCAACATCAATTCACAAATGTAAGGCAATCATCAACATTACAGAGAAAATGCTAAACCAATCTGTGAAAAATATTGCATCTTCTTACTTTCTAAGCATGAAGCTCATTAGGCATCACCTAGGTCTTTTTATTAATTCCCTCATATTAAAGAGAACATAAACCATGGTCAATATCAACTTGTTAGATACTTAACAAAAATATATATAAAAAAATTGCACTGAGGGAGAGATATAAGATTTTCTGATGAAAAGGAGAGTTTTTCTAGAGAGATAATGGAAAGGAGAGTTGATGAGTAAAGAAGCAAGTTGGCATTAAAAAGAGGCAAGTGCCAATGCAAAGCAGGTGTATACTCTACTTAACGTATAATCTCAACTTATTAAAGACTTATAAGCAGTGGTCCTTAACCTATAATCTCTTCTTTTAACTCATTTCACATATGTCCACACTTGTTTTCATAGCCAGCCCCCACCATATTACCCTGCATTTTTTATTTAACCGCATGGTTTCATGTCTTTGTGTTATACATTTTCAGGGTCAAATATCACATCGGACATTGTAAATAATTTAGCATTGAATTGGACTTCACTCTCTAGTTATGCCCTACCATTAATTTATATCACTATTTTTGTTACACAACCAAACTTCAAACTTTTGACAATATGTATATTTCTTAACAAGAGTTTGCTACAAAACATATAGAATCATATTCAAGATCAAGTAGCTGGTATATACCGATATTCCAAATCAAGGATGACATACTTGAAATGTTCATACTTGCAACCGATCAATAAACATAAGAACAAAGTTGTATAAATTTAGTTATCAAAAAAGTTGTATGAGTTTATTTATATATGTTATCTATTATTTTTTATCATGAGAAAACTAACAGGAATATCTTTTGTCGATCAAATTCCTAGCTGTTTGCATTACATTAATCTACTTAATATGAATAATTATGATAAAAATGCCTATACATATGATTATAGGTCGTCTTCTTCTTTAATTGAGATCCCTACATCTTCGTATATATACGGCAAAGTTTTCGCATATGCAGGTTCAATTCAAAATTTAAATCTAGAATCTATAGGAAGATTAATAGGATATGAGCAGAATTCTAGATCGGTCCCGTGGCTACAAAGGTATATGCTTTGAAAAGGGCGACGCTACGACGTCTCCTTCTTAATTTCCAACATTTCTATAAATTAAACATTTAATAACTTTTCACCATTTTCAGATTTCAGAAATAATTTGGTTTTATTCGTCATTATTACTTTGCAGATAATCATATTAAAGAAATCCCACTGCTGAGCCGGATAGAGTAATATTTGGACAGATTAGTTATTGTAAAGAGTCTAATAATCTGAATTCATTTTCGGATGTGTTATGATGAAATAAAGAAAAGAAAAGTAGGTGAGTATATATATATTATACTAACATATATTAAATTAATCTATAGGAGTGGAATATTTATTTAATCTCTGGTGAGAAACCATCAAACCTAAAAAATAACAGTTTATGGCCTGAGTTTTGTGACCACTCAATTCTGTAATGTGAGATGAGAGTTTGGACCACACTGATCAATGTTCTATCACCTACTCTTTAATTTTTAAAAATTCAAAATAAAACATGAACTTTAACCTTTGTTTAAAGCAAGCCTAATTAAGATTTACCTAATTTATTATTCTCCCCTATTTAAGCCGAAATTAGCCAGAGAGACATGAATGGTGCTTTGTCTCTTTCAGGACCACTCACCACGTACGTAAATAACGATAAGATTTAACATGAATGTACGTGAAAACTTTAAACAAAACTTTTAATTTTTATCAAGAGGGGTCATGTGAGTGCCACGTGTCTTATTTTAGAACAACATCTGTATTAAATTATGTAGTAGTGTATACGTTGATGTCGGTCTGAAGAATGAGCTGTACACAAAACTAAAACTGTCGATTTTCATTTTGGATCTCTTAAAAAAACTATAATTTTGTTAGCAAAATTTATATTGTCAACACTATAAGTCTAGATACTTGGTCGCTCCACGAGAAAGTTACTATAGTCTTATTATGTTTTCACGTGATCTGATATATTAAGATTAAAGCATGATAGGTTGCATGATATGTTAACGTGAAAACCCTTCTTTGAGGTTTGAGCTTCGTAATCATAATTTTTTTAATACCTAAGATGGATTATTTTTTGTTCCTTCTGTAAGACGTAGTAAATCTCTTTCCTTCAGAAAAAAAAAAATAATTCCTTCTCTTGTTTTCGCTGCAAAAATCTTTCTTGAATTTCAGTTACATGAACTAAACTGTACATTCTTTTATAAAAGAAAGAAGTAAAATTATATATTACAAGCATGACTGGGTATGAAATAAACGAGTATGGCAGAAAGTCATAGCATATATATAAAAACTTAGCCCACCATTTCGTAATTACAGACGGCGATAGATCACTTTCATTTATATTGATATATGGTCGAGGGGACATGAAGACACTCCGTAATACGTAGACCTTATCTATTACACCAAAAACACTAAAGTAATACATGAAATAAACGGAATCTAGCTAGGCTCTTAAATTGTAAACATGGTTTACAAATTACAGAAGAGATGGGTATGACTGTAAGTCGTCAGCTCTCAACTTTTCTCTTCAAGTAGACTTGTAAGGTTCAACCTTGACATCCAAAATATACACAGGATATATATATATACTGTGATTTAGCAATAAAAAAATATACTGTGATAATTATATGACGTAAGAGTGACTGATTAAGAGAGCAAAAACCACTTGCATACTTCTAAATGATCCTGTGCATATTATCCGAAATCCGAAAACCAAATCGAAACTGAACCGAAAAAACCAAAATTGAAACTGGTTTGAAAATCACATAAATTCGAAGGATTCCTATATTTCTAAATCTGAAAAACCAAAACCGAACTAAAAACTGAACTAGTACCCGAATATTTTGAATATATTAAAATATTAATTATTTTTAATTATTTATATAAATATAATTTATAAATAAAAATATCTAAAAAATCCGAACTATTCGAAGAACATGAATAGTTTTCGTGGTTTTCCGGGTTTAACTCAAGTTTTCGGATTATTTTTGGTTTATTAGGCTTTAAACCCAAACTAAACCTGAATTATCTGTAGTACGGTTCCACTTCGGGTTTTATAGAAGAATAGAAATCCGATATTATCCAACTCGAACCGATCCAAAAAAATGTCTGGTTCCTAAACAATTTCTAAACATCTCAACCCGAATAATTTGAAAACCGAATAAATTAAACCGATCCGAACCGAAAATACGAATGCGCAGGACTACTTCTAGTTGCATGTGCTACAAAATTTATGGCACACATATATTTTTGTTGTTGTCAACTTATCTATACTATTATTTGCGAAGTGATTTTTCGCAACGAAGCTCCCACGTTAAAAGTTAGAGTGCTTAATATCGATTATACCCTTACTAAAAATAATATATATATATATTACATATAAATCTATACTATTATTTGCGAAGTGATTTTTCGCAACGAAGCTCCCACGTTAAAAGTTAGAGTGCTTAATATCGATTATACCCTTACTAAAAATAATATATATATTACATATAAAATAAAAACGAATTTAAATTATTTTAATCTAAAATTAAAAATAATCATAAGAATTATCCAAAATCTAAATAATATCTTTTTAAATAAATCATTCCGATATATATTGTGATGTTATCTGAAAATATATTTGATAAAAAAGTTAACAATTAAAACAATAGAAAATACATAACTAAATATTAATCAAGTCAACTTCTTAATTTTATAATACTGAAAAAATATTATTTGATCTTAAAGTTATTTTTAATAGTGAACATAAATTACAAAGAAATATATGTAAGAATTGTTAAATGAAAGTATAAATATTACTGGTTTCAAAAAAATAAAACACAATCAATATTTAATATTGTTTGATCCTAAAATTATTTTTAATAGTGAACATAAATTACAAAGAAATATATGTAAGAATTGTTAAATAAAAGTATAAATATTAATGGTTTCAAAAAATAAAACACAATCAATAATTTATCATTATAATTTTTTTGATTATTTAAATAATTAAAATTAATAATAATCATAAGAACTATCCAAAATCTAAATAATATGTATTTAAATAAGATAATTCCTATATATATTGTGTTGTTATCTGAAGATATTTTTTACAAAAAAGGTAGATATACATAATTAAATATTAATCAAGTATACATCTTAATTTTATAAATTGAAAAGAAAAAGTTATTTTTATCTTAAGATGATTTATTTTTAGTAGGGAACATAATGTACAAAGAAATACTTGTAAGAATGTTTAAATGAAAATATAAATATTAATGATTTCAAAAAATTAAAACATAAGTAATACTTTATCATTATAATTTTTTGATTAGTAAAACATGTAATAAAATAATTATAAAATTTTTAGGCCCGCAAGTGCGGGCAAAACACCTAGTACATATGTAAGAAAGAAAACTTATGCATATGTAGTTGTGTATTAATGCGTTGGTTTCCTCGAAGTATAATGAGCTTTTTAAAAGAAAACTATAAATGAGTTGTTCACATTTTTGAATTTAATTATTAAATTATCATTTCTCTGTAATAGTTTAATTTCTGGGCCAAACAAATAAAAAGTCAACAGTAAAGACCAAAAATATAAATCAACATGTCGTCTTGTCCTTGTAGAAGCAAATAACCCATCCCAAAATGCCTTACCACAGAGCTCAATAATTAGCATTTATTATTTTCTGTTCATAAAAATCCAATAGTCTTCTCTTTTACTAATCTTTTATTTTTTTTCTTCTTCAACAAAAACAAAACTATATTCCTACGCAATCATCTATTTATCCTCATATCCCAACCATTTAGTTTTATATGGATTCGATATATTTCTGAATCGTGACACTATATCAGAATACAAAATAGATAAAGATTATATTTAAAGAAGAGACTACAATATATTATTCTTTATACTACTGAAATTCACACAGTTTGAAAATACAACAAAAACTTAAAGAGGACCTCATGCACTTAGAGTTGGCCAAAAATCACTTAGGAAGAGTTTTCAAAAATTTGAGAGAATCCTTCTTAACTTTTGTTGGTATTTTAAGTTATTGCTTTAGTTATGATATTTTGAAAATAAAACTATTTAGTTACAAAAAAATAAAAATAAATAAAACTATTTAATTTGCATTTTTCGGTTTTGGAATTAAACATTTTAAAATAAACATGTTCCAGAAAAATAGACTAGAACTTCTCCACCAGAACTAAAATATCACTTGTCTTCAGTTTTTTTTTTGTTGGTGAAAGACTAAAAATTGATAACAGTCGTCATCTTCATATATATTAATACATTTTCGCTATATTTTTTCAGTTCTTCTTGTGAATGACTATCATCTAGATAGTTTTTTTCTTTCCAAATATTTATGAATTCGTTAGGAATGATCTACTATATTGTAATTATATATAAATGATGGTACGAAGTGATTTCTTTTTTCTTTTGTTCTACATGAAGAACAAAAGATTCTAGTTGAGAAATGATAAATGATAATTGAGAGAATACGTAAGCTTTTAGTTGTAAATCAAAACATATTATTGAAAGAAACCCTTTCTCAAAAAAGAGATAACATATTATGGAAAGACAAAAGGCTAACCAAATAAATGTAATAACGAATAATGTATAGAGAAAAATTGAAACAAGGGTAGTAGAAAAAAAGGACAAGAAGCTCACATGAACAGAACCAGATTGTTCATGGGTCCCCTCTTTCTCTCTCTTCTCCTTAGCCCATATCTCTATCAATCTTATATTTACATGAGCTCTTTCTCTCTTCTTTATTTCTTGAGAGATTGTTCCTAATTATACTTTGCTTTTCTTTCTTGGAGTTAGAGAGCTTCTTGCTCCATAAACAGTAGAGAGAGAATGATTCATTTGAGTAAAGATCAGATAAAACCGTGCTAATCAGTGAAGTTAGGCGCAAAATAAAAACCCACTTTCTACTTTTGTATAATTAGGTCAATCTCATCCCCCACCATACTCTTCTCTCCACCAATTCTCCTCTCCTTTTTCTCAATTCTAAAACTAGGGTTTCATCTCCTCTTTCCAAAACAAGAAGATGAATCAAGAAACTCTTTAGAGATCTGAGTTTGGTTCCCTAATAAACAAGAAGATGAATCAAGAAAACAAGAAGCCTGCGGAAGAAGCTTCGACTTCAATGGAGAGAGAGCACATGTTCGACAAAGTAGTAACACCAAGCGACGTAGGCAAACTAAACCGTCTCGTGATCCCAAAGCAACACGCGGAGAGATACTTCCCTTTAGACAATTCCTCAACAAACACCAAAGGGTTGCTTCTAGACTTCGAAGACCGAACAGGAAACTCATGGAGATTCCGTTACTCTTACTGGAACAGTAGCCAAAGTTATGTCATGACAAAAGGCTGGAGCCGTTTCGTCAAAGACAAGAAGCTTGATGCTGGAGACATCGTGTCTTTTCAGAGAGATCCTTGTAATAAAGACAAGCTTTACATAGATTGGAGGAGACGACCAAAGATTCCAGATCATCATCATCAATTCGCAGGAGCTATGTTCCCTAGGTTTTACTCTTTCCCTCATCCTCAGATGCCGACAAGTTTTGAGACTAGTCACAACCTTTATCATCGGTTTCAACGAGATCTTGGAGTTGGGTATTATGTGAGGTCAATGGAAGGAAATGATCCAACGGCTGTGATTGAATCTGTGCCGGTGATAATGCAAAGGAGAGAAGCACAAGTGGGTAGTATGGCTTCATCAAGAGGAGAGAAGAGGTTAAGGCTTTTTGGAGTGGACATGGAGTGTAGAGGAGGAGGAGGAGGAGGAAGTGTGAATAGCACGGAGGAAGAGTCATCATCTTCTGGTGGTAGTATGTCACGTGGCGGCGGTTCTATGGCTGGTGTTGGTTCTCTACTTCAGTTGAGGTTAGTGAGCAGTGATGATGAGTCTTTAGTAGCGATGGAAGCTGCTAGTGTCGATGAGGATCATCACTTGTTTACAACAAAGAAAGGAAAGTCTTCTTTGTCTTTCGATTTGGATAGATGTTCATGATTAATTATGAGATTAATCACTACTTTACTACACATTATATATGATAATTATACATATTATATATATGTGACACAAGGATGTCGTTCAAGATTTTATGATAACATCAAGAAAAAAAAAAAGCATTTTCTTTAGAGATTCGAGTTTGGTTTTGATTTTAGTTTGTTCTTCCAAAAAATATTATTTGTTGATAAAACTTCAAAAAAAATATTCTCCATGAGTCTTCTCTTAGCTTTGGTGGGTCAGAGTTTACATACAGAACATAAACTTTGGATAGCTAGGGATCAGTGTTAAACTTAAAACCCCCATGTCCCTCTGGTCAGAAGCTAATCAGAAGATATGGGCTGTCTTAGAAAAGTGAAATGTATGTAGATGTATATTTATAATCTGTAAACATTTTGTGTATACTGACATTAAATGGTTATTGAACTGTTTACATTGTTTAGTCTATTTTGATATGGCTGCTGTCCGGTTACCGCTGCATTTCTGAAGCTGTTGTTGCTGCTCAATTTGTCAAGCAGATATTGCAGCTTGCAGGAGATGGGCAGACACAGAAATAGATTTATTAATTTATATTTCAAAATAATTCTTATTATATCTAATAGTACTAAATACATAAATAAATAAATAAAAGAAGAGTTTCTTTCATCTGGGTAAGATTGAAAAGGTATGAACAGTTTCTCACATACATTGCTGATGCATTAACTGGTACAGAAGTAATTAGTTTTTTTCTTTTCTTACTTTATAACAAGCTGGCTAGTTTGTCTGTATCATTGCACAACTCAACTCACACATATATCATACACGCAGAGAGTGGTATTCTTAGGTCTTGCTCGGTGTGTTTATGCGTGTAGTTAACTGTTTTAGCTAGAAATATAACATACTAACACAGTGTGATGATAATAATAGAGATTATATATATACACGAATCTGATATATAGTATATATATGTACATGTGTGTACATATATTCTTGTTTTACATGATTTATGCATACATATAGTCACAAGCATTAACTAGTCTATAAATATACCACAATAGTAAGAATCTAGGGCTTATATAGCTAGCTAGTCTCAAGATTAGTTTATAATATATATTCTGATATGTATAGATTTGTGGAGCGTCAGTGTATTGGTACAATAAAACTAAACAAGATTTAGTTCAAACTTCTCTTGAATGATGCTACAGATTAAAAAACTAGAGCCTTTTGGGAGGGTTGTTATTTTATACTATATGTCAGCAGTTTTTGTCTGCTATAGGTTTTTTAGCATACTGCTAAGTAAGGCTATATACTAGCGTGAGCCATGGGCGCATGCAGAGATAAAAATGAAACATTTATCATATAAAATATACAGGCCTGCCTAATATGTAAATGATAACAACAAAAATTTAAGGCGTTCTTTCACTATATATATGTAAATGGTTATTGATTTGGCAAAAAGTGGTTATTAATGTATTTATATATAGAAGTTTGCGTGTGTACGTTTTGCTACTTTTGTAGGGAATCTAATCTTGAACAAGATATAGAAAACTATACTAGTATTTTTTTACGTTTTTAGTTCGTTTTTTTTTTTGAGCAAACATTTATAGTTCGTTAAACTAAGCAAAACCAGGACCAAATCTCAACTTAAAGTTAATAGCCTATACATACCATAGCTGTGAAAAGTCATCGAAATCAGCGAGGGCTAACTTACCTATATACCACATTATGTAATCATATAATATCTATATATATGTGAAGAGCAGACGAGATGTTAGACTGAGCTACACGAAGACTGATGATGATGAATGATTCCCCAAAGAAAAATAAACAAAAGAGAAATTCAATAGATTTTAAATTATAGGTGATAAATTTATGCAAGCTTACAATGTATTTAGCATTCTACTAGTGAGCAATGGAGAAATGAACTTTTCTTTAATTGCAGTCTTTTGTATCCAAGCCTCAAAACATTTAAGCAAAAAATGCGTCATTAAAATTTTGTAATGCCACGTTCAAGAAGGTTTTGAGTACTAATCTTAGGATTGCAAGTTCATTAATTTTCACTTTTATTGTTTGTTATATTCTTCTTGCATTGCTTGGGACAAGCTCACCATGACAAAGAGATTGCAGACTTTGATTCAATTCACTACGAGTTAAAAATATGAGATTAGCATATACCGATCGATATTATTAGGAATTACCAGTGAGAGAGTTTTAGAGAAATATTCAAGTGAACCGAACATCTAGAGCTAAACTAGAAAGATACTAGTGATTCAAAAAAACAATCGGCGTAAATAAGAAAGAGAAACCATTTATTAAACCGATGATTCAAAGCATTTGAGGATTTGAAGCTCAAGCTAGAGGAAAGCATCCTCATTTGCATGGCTACTCTTTAACAAATGATCATGTCTAAAAGGTAAAACCTTTATCATGCCCAATCTCCATGGATCATGTCTCAAACCACATTCTTACTGCTACTATGATGACAAACGAAACAAAAAACAAAACAATCCTTTTAAAAGAAACAGTCCATTAAAGATGAAATTAACTCAACATTACACAGATAAACACAGAGGCAAAACAATTCAACGTGTGATCTACAGAGCATGAATCATCTCAAACACAAGTGTGACAAAGAAGAAGCTACTAAACGAATTGGGATCAATTTCCTTCTCTAATCCATTAACTCTTGAGATCAGAAAGCGCCGACGAGAAGAGAGAGTCCAAGCAAGAAGAGCCAGACGATATGAATCAATAACAAAGCTTGACCAGGAACAGAAGCGGTTCCCGCGTTATCCGCGTCGCAAGGTCCTTTTTTGACTACACGAGCTCCATGGCACGCTGCGTCGGGGCAGCCACACCAGTACGTGACTCTATCGGCTCCGCAAACCGGATCCGCCCGGAAACAGTTTATTGGACACCCGCCAGGGTCCGAAACCGTGCCGCAGACGTCGCCGCTTGATTTCTCCGGGAGATCGTCCGCTGCTTGAATGCCGATCAAGCAGAATAGTAATAGGAGAAGTAAGGGGATGATCGACGAGAACGACGGCATCGCGTGGGAATCGATTGGTTTTTGAAATCAAATTCGTGACGAAAGGGAGAGGACTTTGTTCAAAGTGCTGCGAACGATTCGAAACCCTAATTTGAGGAGAATTGGGGATTTTTTTTCTCGGAGTTAGCGTGTAACCGTGTTGTTTGAATTGGTGGGTACACCTGCCCGGCTGCCCCCACCGCCCACCGAGTTAAGCAGACAATAAAAACGACGCGCTGTTTTTGAATTTAAGCGATCAAACATCTCGCTGTCTAGAGATAATATCGGTTCGCTGGTTTGACCGGTTCATCAATTATTTTTAATGCAATTTGAGACAATGTTTGGTTTTAAGATGCTCTGATATTAAAGATCGAAGACTTTGTTCAGTCACATAAGTATTTGAGCTAATGCAAGTTCAACATTAATTAAGATTCTATTTTCAAGTAATCAGAATGACCAAAATGTCAAAAACCATACTAACTGAATGTGTTGAGCCTTTCCTAAGTTGATCAGGCTTCTCTGTGTCGGAGGATGCAGACAGAACTGTGAGCCCTGTCCAAACAAAAGAACGGTTTACAGACAGTGAAGTGCTCAGCTTCATTTGATACTCTTCTGCTTTAAAACTTCTCTCTCAGGTTCACTTGGATCCAAATGTTTTTGAAAGAGGATTATCTCTTGCGGCATATCGTCATGCCATCACCAATTGGTACCTGATGCGTAAAGAAAAAGGTGAAAAACTCAAGCATGAGCTTGGACGCACAAAGCTAACGAATCAAGGGGAGGAGCAAACTCACCATACTAATGCTTACGCGTTCATCATCCATTAACTTCTTGTTGAAATTCCTAATGCTGATGGTCTTTGCATCATTCACCTGATGAATTTCATACTTATAGAAACTACAATTTTCTTTTCACTGGGGAAGCTCTTAGAAGATGATTAGGGTTTAAGATGCATACCATAGGATCAGCAACTCGTCCATGCCAAAGAACATTATCCATCACAATAACTCCACCAACCCTTACCTGCATCAACAACAGAAGATACCTGCTAAAGCTAACTTGATCACTGTATGATTAGCATTATGATCTATGGTCTTACAAGTTGAAGAAGCAATTCGAAGTAGTCCTGGTACATCCTCTTATCAGCATCAACAAATGCAAAATCATAGCTGCAAACAATAAAAACCTGAAATGAGACAATCATTTCAATCAGGGACACAATATAAAACACGTATATCGTCTCAACCTGGATCCTTCACCGTTCTCAATCAATGATCTCAACGACTCTGCTGCGAGTCCATGTTTCACAACAACCTGACTAATGTAAACAAATTAAACAATCACACAGTTTCTCATAACATAGAAGAAGGAGTCTTACCTTGTGAGAGACACCAGCAAGCTCGTAATACCTCTTAGCAACTTCAAGAGAGTTAGAGTCTCTTTCACAAGCAACAATACGTCCTGATTCAGGTAGAGCCAACGCTACAGCCAACGATGAATACCCCTGTAACAAAGCTTTATCATCATTACCAATACTTGACAAGCATCACAACACGTTCATGAAGAAGAGAGAGAGATTAGCACCGTGTAAACTCCTACTTCGATACACCTCTCAGCTCCAAGAATCTGCACAAGCATTGCTAGTAACTGCGCTTGATCAGGAGATACCTAACACAACCATAAACAGAATCAACGAAAGCTACATTCGAATTACGCATAAACCGTAACCTACCTGCATCTGACTACCTCGCATTTTCGCAGTCTCTTCACGAAGAAGCTTCAGAATCTAACGAACAGAATCAAATCAAGACGATGAATAATAAGAAGCGAAATCCCTAGATTCGAGGAAAAGGAAGACGATAAGACTTAAAGAGATACCTCAGGCTCGCGAACGTTGGAGAGGACGTAGTCGTAGAGGCGAGGAGTGAGGCTGATGACCTGTTTGTTACCGTACTTCTCGTCGTCGGCGACGACGAAAGGAACCGCTGCGATCGAGCAGTTTCTGATTAGTCGGCGGTTGAGTTTGAAGTTCCTGACGACGGAGGCCGTTGGCCGGTTTAGTAATACATCGGCTGTTCTAAATACCGAAATTGAGTATCGGTTCATCGCTAAACCGGTCGCCATCTTCTGCTTCACTCCCGGAAACGGAAGACGAGAAAGAAGAATCCTCGAAGTTATCTGCGTCTTCTACAGTCAAACGGGTCGGGTCAAGATACGGGTCGGGTATCACTTTTGTTTTTTTTTTTTTTGAAAGAATGTTGAATTAATTCGAAAAATAAAACTGTTTACAACTAAAGTTGATTGTTTTAGACTCGAAAGAAACTGAAAGATTGATTTACACTAGAGGGTATCACATTATTTCGCGCGATTAAAATCAGACGGCATCGATTGCTGGTTATATATTAAGGTGAAATTAATGATTTATTAACAGAAGACAATCATCACCTTGGTGCTTTTTTATTTCTTTCTCAACCACTAGTTATTGTTTTAGAACTCAAGAAAAGTTGATCTGAAACAATTGATATTAATGTGATCAGAAACAATTGATATCAATGATTCATCTTACTGCTACTATCAATGTGATATGACTGATGAATAACCAAACCAAAATGATTCATCCTTTCAGAAGAAACAATCCATTAAACAGAGTTATCTAAACTCGTACCAAACCAAAATGACTCATTATACTGCTACGATCAATGTGATATGACTGATGACAAACAAAACCAAAAAGATTCATCCTTTCAAAGGAAACGATCCTTTAAACAGAAAATTAACTCAATTCATAACACATGCAAACAGAGGCAAAACTCATTCAACTTGTGGATCTATAAAGTATGACAAATAAAAAGCTACGAAACAAATTGGGATCAAAAAGCACTGAGATATAACAAATATGTATATGTATCAATAACAAATTATTTTTTGCTTAAATGGATCAAAATAATCATCATTTTAACACTCAAAATTCGAATAATTTTCCCTTTAACTATCTAAATCTCAATACTTATCGGTTTCAAAATCAATTTTCAAACAAACCTTAAATATGCTTAACTATGGTTTTGCACCAAATTTCTTTATACCATCATCTATTCCAAACTATGGTTAATAATAAAAATTATTTAAAAATGTGTCATTTAAATTATTTAAGTTTATTATAGTCGAATTATTATATAATATATAGTTATCGAATCATAAAATATAAAAGAAAATGAATTAGAAATAGTGGGATATGGAATTGAATTTTATCAAAGAAAACTATTGTAGAGGTAAAAATGAATTAGGTGTTGAATAATGAGGTGAAAGAGAAAATAAATGATGTAGAATATTAAAAGGAGAAAAAGAAGGTGTTAGAATTGTTTTACCATTATGGATAATCTAAGCGAGAGATGTCAAAGGTGTCGTCGTCATCGTTCATCCTTAAGAAACCCTAATAATTTCTAACACTTTAAAATTTTTTTTTTTACATATATACATAGGTATGGTTTCAGGAGAGAAACGTGCAAAGATGACGAAGATCTTGGAGGACATTGTTGCATGGTCAGATGACATCATTGTAGAATCAAAGTACGAAGGATGTGAAAGATATAAGAATACAAAACACAAATATAAAAGAACTAACTCTTCTTTTATTTGCTTTAGAAAACTCACTCAAAAACTAAAGCTTAAACTCAACTCTCTCATAATCTCCAATGCCACACATTGGCCTCTTTATATACAGATAAACAATTCTTGATTCTAGTAGGTAATATGTAAAATAACTCCTAACATACTATGATTCTCATCTCTATAACTCAGTAGAATTGGTTCTTATCTTAATCTTCAAATTTCATTTTTCAAGCTTAAGTCAACAATCATCAAGATTGTTGAACTTCTCAAAAGTCGGAAAAGTTGCAGGTTTATGGTTGTGACTCCAGGCCTCCGCCATCCCCACCTCATTCAACGGTGGTGATGATTCTTCCAGCTCTTCCTTGTAGTGGACTTAGTTTTGCCAAAAAAAAACAGAGTAAAAGAATAGGGAAAATTCTTTAAAAATATACAAACTAAATTTTTTTTTGCTGAAAAATATACGAATTTTTAGGATTCCCAAAAAATATACTGATTAATTTTGCTTGTCCATAAATACATGAATTTTGAATCAGAGTTAACGTCTTCTAACATCGTCTTAAAGTTCTGTTAATCAGAGTTAACGTCGTTAAAATCGAGGTGTGAAACTGAAACCTCTAGAATTCAAAAGTTTATATATTTTATGGATAACCAAAATTAATCTATATATTTTTTTAGGAAGCCTAAAAGGTTTATGTATTTTTGAGTGAAGCAAATTTAATCGGTGTGTTTTTGAAAGAATTTTCCCTACATCTAGACTAGACTATACCCAATGCAAACAAAACTGGAATCACCTTTAGATAGTGGGCTTCACATCGTCATCAAATAACTTTATTGGGATGTGATGTGGTTTGAGTACTCAACTCCAGTTTTCACGGGAACAACAAGATCATTGAACTTTGAAACTTTACTTGTATCCCAGGCTTCAGTTTAATCTAAATTGAGGAGAGAAGGAAAAGTAGTAAAAAGACAAAGATGTACTATGAAGAAGCATAAGAACAATAACATGAATAGTTGTGAATCATTTTGACTTGCTACAGCCAGGAGGACAAATCTAAATCAAAAGGCAAAGAGTGTATATGAATGAAACACTCGTCTAAATACTCTTATTTTAGTACCATTTTTTCCAGATTTTATCAAGTTCTAGAATTCAAGGCATCTTAGGTGTTGTGACGGATGTGAGAAGATATAGATTAACATATGGATAAACAATGAAGAAAGACACATAGATTTAACGTGGTTCGCCCCTAACGGCTACGTCCACGGGCAAAGAGAGTACTTTATTGATGGAGGCGAGTTTTCAGAGTACAATTTCGTGCTACAGACTAGGGTAAAACCCTAAAGATATATATAAGAAAGCCTTTAATGAAACTTTTCATATTTCTCGGATTTGACACATATCGACCGATACATTAGCTCTTGCATCGACCGATATGTGTCGGGTCAGATCGACCGATATGTGACTCATGTATTGATTGATTTATCAGCTCACAGATTCAAGGCATATTTCAACATTGGGTTCGTTAGAACGTGTGGCAGGGTCAAGTTCGTCACACATACCCACGTATTAAGAAGGAAGACATGTTCAATAACAAGGCAATCTCTAGTTTTGGAAACCAAGGGGGAAACCCTAAAGTTGTTAGGTTTGCTTCTTTAAGTAACGAAGAAGCAAGTTGACTAAGCAAAGCAAAAACAAAAACATATATACCCGAGACATTGACGTGCATTCACAAGAACACTATGACATACTGAACTTTATTAAGAAATGTAACAAAGATAGAGGGATAGATGAAGGATGTTATTTCTTACTATTTTATAAGTAAATAACTAGATTTTAACCCGCGCTTTAAAAGCGCGGGTATAATTTTACTACTTTGATCAAATTTGATTCATTTTATAAATTTTCTTAAAATAAATAATTTTAAATTTATTATATTTGTGTTTCAAAATTTTTGTTCTATCATATTTAATTTCCATTAAATGTTTTCATATCCGACTTAAACTGTGGTTGAACCGATAGATCTGACGACATGTGTTAATCCAGTTAAATTTAATAAAAAGTTGTTAGTTAAAAATTAGATAAAACTTTGTAAAATCCAAAATCCGTTATTAACACGTGATCCAATATCAAATGATTCACTGAAAACAAAAAAAAATTAATTTTTTTGATTTAATAACTCATACATTTTAATATTATATAAGGCTGAAAATTTGTAATATCTTAAACTTTGAGGAATTTTTTATTAAGTTATTTGAAAAAAATGAAATAAAGGTAATAAAAAAGTAAAATTTATTGATATAACAATATTAGTTTCTTTTTCGTTTTTAATAATTTCTGAAAGTTATTTTGTTTATTTTAGATGTAAAATTAAATTTTATAATAAATTTTAAAATATTTTTGAAGGTTCAAAATGTAAAAATGACATGGTAAATAATATTTTTTAAATTTTCATATATATATATATACAAATTTTATTGAAAAATAATACTAAGCAAGAAAACTAATATTCAAATTAAATGAAATGTATTATTTACATAAATTAGAATTAATATTATGTAAAATCTTGGATAGTATTAGTTACCAAAAATATAGGAAAGATTGTGTTGTTTAGTTTAAATAAATAATGTAGATATTAAAATTAAATGTCAGTGGCATAGCAATGTAAATAACTTGAAAAGTAAGGGCAAAATCCTAATAGGCATTCTGCTTTAATAGTATAGATTTGGGCATATATTCTAGAAAACTTCATCACTACATAGTTTATCTCTCTATTTTGGCTGAATAAAGAAAAATAGATAGATAAGATAAAGATGCAAGTTAATCCTAAAAGAAAAAACAAAAAGGGCTTCTTGTCTTTTGCAGAGCTGCTTTCTGCTGAAAGGCTTCAATCTCTCTCGTTCTTAGATTATGGAGCTTATCCAACTGCTCCAATTATGAAAAATCAAAAGATCAGTAAGAGAGTTCTCAGTTTAAGCAAGAAAAATAACTAAGAAGACTGAAAAAGGAAAACCTCAACCTCTTGAAGAGAAACATCACGCATATCTGTAAACTCTTTAGCAATTTCTAGGCACCGCTCCTTTTTTTGCACATACCATGAAACATCTACATGGAAGTAAGTTTGTAAAGATTTAAAATAAAAAAAAAACAAACACAAACACACATGGTAATAATTGTTAAAAAAAAAACAAGTTACTCGATATGAGTTCCCCTCGCACACACCTGATAACTCAAGGTTGCTTGCCATCATGTTACCGTATGTAGCAGCCATGTCCAGGAAATAATTCTCAGACTCTGCAATGGTGCGAACCGCCTGAGATGATGAAGGTAATAAGAGTTAAAGCTCTGTCTCCAGTGAACAAAATCTTTAGCTTTGAAATTGTCAAAAAGAGAGATAAAAAAGAGAACCGTTACCTCGTTTAGCTTGTCTGTTGCTTTCTGAAGAAGAAGCAACTTCCTGTTGTGTTCCCTGGACATAGTAACCTGCGGATGAGGAAACCCACTCTGAATCTCCTCTCAAAAATCAAATCTCTCGTATCAAAAAATCAAAACTATATTCCTAATCTAAAAGAAACAGACTAGGAATTTAGGGTTTATCAATCAGTTTGATGATCCTAAGGTAACATATTTCGACAAGCCTTACGGATGTAAATCAAAGCAGTTTGCTTGGTTATTAAGTCGAGAGCGCAGAGGAACGATGAAGAAACAGAAGAAACTTTGGGGTTTTATTTACTTCTCCATAACCGGTTTTCCATTTATAATTTGTACAAATTTCTATTTAAGTTTGACTCAATTTTGGAAAATGCACTATTTTATATTTGAGAACTTTTACATTTTCAATAAATAAAGTTATTTCAGATGTAATTCCATTATTAGGTATTTACATTTTTTTTTTTTTAAATCTTACCTTTTGGAAATTTGTCGTTTTAGAAAAAAACTCAATTTAAATACTAGCTAGTTTATAAGTGTAGGTTCTTTTAATAAAATAAAAAATATATTGTAGTTTTTTTCCCGGAAAACTGTATGAACTAATAATTAGTATAGAAACTATAAAACAAAATAATACATAATTAACAGTTTAACCATCAATTACTTGAATTTTGACTCTTATGGAAATTTTTAAATTCGTCAACTTTATAAATTAAAATGTGTATTTTCAAATTTAAAATATGTATTTGAGTAATATGTATTTTAAAATATGCATCTTGGCATATACCGAACATCTTTTAGAATAATCACTGAACCATTTTCATTTGTTATTCTGATCTTGCCAATGCCTTTTACTTCGCATTGGGTGTTGTTCGCCATTAGAACTTTGATTCCATCTCCTTCTTATAAATCAAATAAGACATCTTTATCTGGTATTATGTAAAACGTACAACCTGAATCTAGAACCCACTTTTTCCTTAAATAATGTATACTCGTTGTATAGTGTTTACTGCTTGTTCACCATTGTTCCTTTGTCATCTATTTGGACAGTCACATTTTCAGTGGCCTTCTTTGCCACATGAGAAACATATTCCTTTCTTTGTCTATTTTGATATGTCTCTGGACTTAGATTGACCACCTTGGTTTTTAGACATGTTGTTCTTCTTGTTGTTACCATTATGAGACCACTTAGATGATTTTCCTTTTGATTCAACATATTTTGATCAAAAAAAAAAAGATTCAACATATAATCCTTCAAAAAAAAAATATTTTTGTTTAATAAACCTTTTTGTCTAAACTTTGCCTTTTTTGAATATGTTGAGGTAACAACTTTGGAAGCAGTAAGAGTAACGGATGGAAAAAAAATTATTTTTGTTTAATAAACCTTTTTTGTCTAAGCTTTACCTTGTTGATTATGAGCGTGTTCCTGTAACGGGTGAAAAGTCACCAAAAGAATCAGATTTTGATGCGTTGTAAGTCTTATGCTTACGAAATTAGTGAGAACTTTTTTGTGGTTAACTTTGGCGAAACACCAAGCTAGGAGAGTTTGTTTTTATTCCATTCCTCAAGTCACAGAGTTCAGTGATCGTATCTCTTTCCATTTGGTATTTGTTAGGTACATAACATAATACGTCCCTGCCAACTAATATATTTTTACATGTGTTTTTACAGATTAAGAAGATATCTCAAGCTGACATTAATACCGATATAATTTTTAATTGTCAAATGGGACGTGGGCGTTGTACTGGAATGGTGATTGCAACTCTCGTCTATTTCAAGCGTACTGGTGCCTCAGGTACTTCATCCTCATTTGAAGAGTGATAGGCTCGATAAAGTATACGTGAGGAGGAAGAAAGGAAAGGAGGCCGTGGAATAGTGACGTGGCAAAGTAATTCAAATAAGGAAGGGAGATACTTGTTTTGAGTTAGAGTTTTTCTAGCTTTTGTGTTCGTTGTATATAAACCAGTTTGTTGGTTAGATGTCAGTTAGCTTTTAGATTTGGATTGAGTCTAGCGACTTGAGGAGTGTATCGTCTGGGTGAGGCCAGCGGTTACTCAGATTCAAATCTAGAGGTGGATTCAATATCATCTGTAATTGAATCAGAGTTATATACAACGTGATTGAGTTTACATTGAGAATCGGATAGTTAAATTCTATCAAAGAGACTCTAACGAATGCTCTTTCTACAGATTATATTTTTATTTGAAACAAATCGAGCATTATTTTGAATTGTCTAGTTCCGTACCTTTGGAATGTCGTAATGCTTTATAGTTTAGAAAGAAATGAAACCGTCTGAACTAGCCAAAGAATCACATCTCAACTCTCTTAATGCATATATGCAAGTCCAGGAGCCACGTTTTCTGGAACAAATATAAACTAGACACAGAGAGTCATGGCAGATTGGTGTTTATGTCAGTACATTAATTATGGTAGAAGTTTGTACTGACTGCTTTTTTCTTTGCTATATCTTGTTGAATAGAGATCATGGATTCCCAAGAAACAACTCTTTTGTACAGATGTTGTTTAGAGGCTGATGGATTTCCGATCAACTATGCGCGTGTACCTATTAACTGATGGTAAAAGCGCCTAAAAAGCTCTGACTTTGACACGTGGTAGAGAAATCTTCTAAATCGTAGGACAAATAAATTGAGATTTTAACAAGTTCATACGAGAAAGATTTTAATAATACTGATTATACCTCTTTTGATTTCACATTTGTTAATGCTAAACGAGACTAGATTAACTCATTAACATCAAGCAAAAGAATATTTGTTAATGACTAATTACTAGAGTGAAAAGACAAAAGGCTTGTGAACCACATATTTGAAGTCCATGAGAATCGCATTTGAAAATGCAACATCAATCAAGTCACATGTGATTTGACAGGTTACAAGAAGACATGTTCTCTTTAAAATGTTCAAAAAATATACTCTTGTATACTATTTAAATCTGTATAATTTATAATTTTTTGTCAACTGGTTTGCGGATTTAACTTGTTTAATAAAAGACTACAGAGTTTTTTAAATAATAATTTGTTTAACCGTGTTAAATGCGCGTGTTTTTGTTTATACATTTTTTGCTGTCTTACCAGTATAATATTTGTATATTCGTAAAAAAAATAACATTTAATAGGTGTGAACGAACTTTAAAATAAACGAAGAATCAACTGACGAATCAGGTCATGTTTAACGCACAATGCGTTGGAAGAGCCGTTTAACGATAGTTTTGATACGATGACAACAACCTAAATATTATAAGTAGGTGTGACCTGCCATTTTATATAGTCATTGTTTTATATATAGACTTATAGTGTAGCTGGTCAATTATGTTTTGTTCATATTAGTTGCGATAGATAAGGGTATGTATACGTATACAACGATTAGAATATGATTGTACATTATGCATTTCACGTACAAGTGTTTCTGCGCAATATATAATATGGTTATTTGTTTATCTGGATATATCTTTTCAGAAAAAAAGATGGAATATATATCAACACTTTCATAATGTATTTTTAAATATTTGTGAAGTTTGTAATATATAGTAGTATATGTATAGGAGAAACAAGAATCTAGGGAGAGTACCAGTGTTATTCTTTTGGTTCACAAGCAAAATAATTTTTGTATTACGTTCGAAGCATTAAGCATACGACCAAAAAAATTTAGCACGTGTTCACCGTCCAGCATATGTATAAAATCCAAGTATCTGATATAAGCTTACGTTTTTTTTGTAGAGAGATAAAAGATATTTCTGTTATTTCTTTCATTTATTGATATACCTAAATTATTAAAATGTAGTAGATATTTTGTTTGCCACAAGCTGTGATCATGGATACGTATGTTTTTGTCCTGCTCTATTAATTTGTTTTGTATGTAAGTAAAATCACCAAATATATGGTGGGTGATTGCCCTTTGTCGCATCTCAAAAGAATATTCCACTATCGATAATTTATCATCGTTTTTCTTGTACAAATTCATTTGTAACCTTTGGAAGTCACATTTTGTTGTTAAAAATAATTTGCAAAAATTAACACAGTATGTTTATCGCTAGTTTATAGAGAAAAGAAGATTAGACAGAAATTATAAAAAAGTATAAAAGGAAAAGACATGCCTTACACGTTCATGTGTGACGCAAGACCCACAACTCATCTGCTGACCAATAGAAATTCCGTTTCCTCTATTATTATTATCTTTTTTTTTAAGAAAGGCTTCCGTTTCGTCTTCTTATTCGGAGGCTACTTTAGCTTAATTTGATGCTTTTATAAAGTTACTTTATTACCAACACAACTATAACCATATGGAATATTTCTTTATCTCTTTATCGTTGGCTTCAAGCTATAAAACGTGTTGAAATCCTGATAATACTACAAATAATTCATCTTAAAAGACTTAATTAAATCAGTTACAAAAAATACTTAATTAATAATTTCTGTTGTTTTTATAAAAATTAGAAAACCATAACTGAATTAAAGCTAAAAAAAGTTAATCAAATGTAAAGTAAAAAAATTGTATTATTTTGACTCTAATCACTTTAAAAAAAAAACGAAGCTTCTCGATGGTTTTCTAGTTATGCCTTTTTAAAGACTAAAAGTTCTAATTACCAATTTTGATTACTATTTGCATTAACTAATCAATTAATTAATACTCATACGAATCTATGTATTATAAATAAGTTATCGTTGTACCTATCCATCCCCTCGAAGTTAATTTAGCTGAACAATTTAGCGTGTGAGAGCATCTCCTCTCTCTATCTCTCTCTTTTTATTTCGATCTCTCGACCTTATCCGTTCCCAATCTCTTTTAAGATTTTCCTTTTAAGATAGAAAAAAAAGCTTCTCATTCGCTGTGTCCGCGAGAGAATATTCCTGCGATCCTATTCCGCATTGGTATCGTTTTTAAAGAGTGAAAACGAAGAGAAGAGTGTGTGTGTGTGTGTTGGATGAGAGAGATGGCGTCGATACCGAAAGAGCCAGAGCAGGTGATGAAGCTTAGAGATGGATCTGTACTCGGGAAGAAGACGATTCTCAAGAGCGATCATTTTCCTGGTTGTCAGAATAAGCGTATGTCTCCTCAGATCGATGGCGCTCCTAATTATCGTCAGGTATCTCCTTGATTTCTTTGATTCGTATTCGTTGTTAATCGATTTAGGGCACCAAATCGGAATCGGATCAGGGAAGATGCGTTTAGGTTACTTAGGGATCAGAAACGAACCAAATCTCTAGGCATTATCTTTGATTCTAGGTCGAATCCATGTTTTCTTGTTTATGTGTGTGTTTGTG